ACATGAATATAAAATAAACATCGATTTTAGATTGTTAGCGACGCAGGATTTTTAAATACTGTATATATATAACACATTAACGGCTCCAAACGCGATATTCATGTCATCCGACGTTTCGGATACCTTGCAGCAGCCGTGGTCACATGGTTTTTAAATAATATATCGCGTTTTAAACCGTCAAAGTGTATTTAAAAAAGGTTTATTTTTAATTCGCAATTTCGTGACGAAAATTATATGTATGTCTAAGATCCCCCCCTATGTTTACCCCTCTATCGATCGAAGTCAATAAATTGTAGTGCAGCGGCCAATCATAAACAACATAACGTCACAGTGGTATTATTCACCCCAACAACAACAGTTCCCCTGGGTATCGGCTCTGACGAATGACCCAATAAATACCCATAAGGCAAAACGCGACACGTTCTAAACATTCCGGGGCATAAGTATTCTCCTGTTAAGTAATTTATTTCTTCAGGTGAACAGTTTTTTATGAGCCCACTAATGCAGGGGTAAAAAACAACACAATCTGTGTTGTAGATAAGAATGGGGAGTTAATAAATCTTACATTTGAATAAACTTTGTGAAACCTCAATATGATTATTGTAAGCTATGATTTATCTTTCAAAACACGATAGGTAGATAAATATATCAATATGAAGCATTGTCTGACACATTAAATACACCACTATTTAAATTAAAAATCGATTTATATTGATAAAAAAGAACGACACGGGACTAGAACCGGCGTCCACAGCGTTCTGTGCTGTAGTTATGGATGTGCGTGTGTAAGTACATTTTTAATTTAAACTTTTAACGTTATAAAACCCGAAGTTGGTTAAGTTATTTTTAACTACAAACTAAACTGTTGATAATGTTTTAATAAAAGTTAGTTTAAAATAAAAGGTGACGAGAACTTAATACATAAATTATACACATGTACTAAAAAATTTGTTTAAAGAAAGGTATTAAGAACAAGAAAGAAGCACTAGAATAAGTTTATTGTCGATGTTTTTACCGGAAACATCAGAATCTACAAAGTGTTAACGACGATAAAATTGATCTTTCGACCTCACGACCGGAAGTCAGATACGTATAACACCAAAATGGCTCTCATAAAAAAAATCATAAGACTACTCGTAATCATGACTTCACTAACCTACCTCAACACGTTTAATGAGTCATCGCCAAGAGAAACTCCCTTTTGCCAGTTCATTGCACACAGATCTTATTAATGTTGAATTCGTCTCACAGCCCACACTAAACCGGTCTAGATATGAACTTCGCCTAACAATAGCTTTCTAGGACTTGAATTTATCTTTTAAATAAGGATACATTAAAATACAATATTAGTCATGTAGCACCTCGCAACTTAAAATTAAAAAAAAAACTGTCCGTCTTTGTTACTCACTTACGTATAAACATATGTATGAAAGAGACAAAAGATCATCAAGGTTTTATAAAGAACGTGTAAGATTTTTCAATATTTCTTTTAACTCTCAAAAAGTACGACATGTAGGAAAACATAGTATGAACGTATTTGTAAATATCATATAATTTTAACTGTTTAAAACGTGACCAAATGTTGTTAATTCAATCTTAATGTAGTTACGACTTACATTTCGGATGCTTTACAGCAACCATGATCACGGGGAAACTAAATTTACTCATCAATTTCATGTTTAAAACTGTTAAACCTATTGAATTTATTTGTAACAATAGCGGTAAACTACAGACAATCTAATATTTAGTACGTAAGTAATTCAGATAACCTAACCTAACCTAAGCGATTTTATTTGGAACAAGTCGTTAATACATATAAGAAGTAATCAAACATTCTGTGATATGTTAGAATTGAGATTCCTAGTAAAATAATTAAAACATAATATATTTATAATTCATACATATATGTACTCAAAATGTAAAAGCATATAATACTTTTAAATGATCTAGGTTATATGTTATTAATGTTGCTACAAATATAAATAAAACACTTAACGGTTTAAAACGCGATACATTGCTACGGCTGCTGAAAAGCATGCAAAACGATGGGCCGTAGTTAATATAATTTTCAAATAAGTGTAACTAAAATATATTGCGATTTAAACCGTTAAATTGTTCTATTTCAATGTGTAGGTACTACTCGCATAAACTGCAGACAGTACCTATTTGTGACAAATAGTAAAACATGGACAAATGTATTTTGTGTTAACTAATATAAATAACTCTTAAAAGGGACACTAAAATTTAATATAAATATTTTGCTGACTCTACGTGGAATTTCCATCTAACGTTATATTATGTCAAATTCGTCTCACTTAACATAATTTTACAAAAACAATTTTCCCATTTCCTAATGGCTCCTGTATTCACATGTTAAAAGAATAACTTTTTTCCTTGTTAAGAGTTGACTTAACACATAAATCAATTTGTTTATTATTTTACGAAGCTACGGAGCTAAAATATGATACACAAAGCTTGTGTCTCAGATAGCCTTTACTCACATAAAACCAGAATCTCTTATCTAACGATCACATTTCTGAACGAAAGCTGACACTTCACAATTGTGTATAGTTAGTGTATTTTGCACGTCTATGTATGTATTCACACTAAACCACTAACTTATTATAAACTTTACTTTTATACATCAAGTAGAAAATAATATCTAAACAACGTCACCAACTGTTTATCGGAACGAAATATTTAACTAATTATTTCAAACGCGAAATATATCAACTCATTTATAATTTAACTTAACTATAGCGTTTTAAATCTCGCGTAACACACAATATTAAGCAAAATAACAATGGCTGTATCAAATTTGACGTTTTATTTTTTTTAAGTAATTACTGTCAAATTTGACAGTTTACATTCCAAACATAATGTTTGTAACTTGCACATAAAAAGCTGTCGAGTCTTTGTGGCATTATAATCTGTGGTAAATAGGGGCATTAATATTTATTAATGGCAACGATACAATGAACGGATGTACAGACAGACCTGTGCACGTCTAGACTCGTGACGTCTGTCCATTGATATCCACTTTAATTGGACTCATTGTGCCCGTCCTATTAATTATACATGTGGGATTCATTCTTGCATTACAAACATGCGAAGAGTACTTAAAAAACTGCTTATTAAAAGATTAATTACATAAAATTGTCATACCTACATACTAATCTTAAGCGGTTTAAAGCGAAAACTATAATAGTGAAGCCTTTGGAAGCTATAGAAGGGGGACTAAATTATTTAGTATTATACATAAGTATCAGTAACACGCTAATGACACGTATAAGAAGATATATTAATAGAACATCCCGGTCTCAACATTGGAAGCAAATGGAGAAGAGTTAACTCATTTTGCAAGAAAACAATGCATTTTTTAAGATAGGAGGAGGGCACTTGATGGTAGGTGAAATACCGGACCGGTAAAGGATCTAAAGAAGATACGGTATCAACCTAATTTTCGCTTTAGATATTTGAAAATGTGTGGTTCGTGACCCGAACGGAATTATGATATTCCTACCATCAATTTAATATCCAGATTTCCAGACGAAGTCCATTACTATCAGGAAATGATAAAACCGGTGGGGATCGAACCCAAGACCCACTGATTAATATTATCTATACATTAAACCAACGAGCTCGTAAAATAACGCATCACTATTGTCATCTAACAGCAATGTTAGGACAAAGTTTTTACCGCAAACTTGCGCGTACGCTGTAAATAGACAATCAGAATATTCAAACAATTGCCGCATCTAAACGCATTAAACCACCCGGCGTTAGACAAAGTTTAGTACGCCACGTTAAACATCGTATGGATAGCTAGTCTGAGCGCAACATCGCAAAACGCAGAACAAACTGCCTCCGCTTTGTGATGCACTAATGAGAAGCACGTGGCTGTCCCCTGCAATGCAGGCTGCACAATAAAACAATGGGACGGTCCTCCTTTATCATACACGATGAAACCCACGGATTGTTAGTGCACTATGTCAAGAAATCGCTAAGCTTTTACATTTCTCGTGACAATGGACGTTATATATTACGCCACATTATGTTCGATTTATAGTGAGAATTCTCTTTTATTACGTAAAGGACAATAACTAGGATAGTAGCATTTGTATAATAGGACACGGTAGCTCAATTGGTTAAAGCACGGAGCGATGTGGATGCCGGTTCGAGTCGTCATTTCGTAATTTTTCCCATCTTAATAAATTTGTAATTAGAAAGATATTAATTTAGTTCTAAATTCAAAAATTACAAAAACAATGACAGACAATGCCCAGTATTGTTTTTACATTACGATTAGACATGTTTTCATGAATTACGATTAGAAGTTTTCATGTCAAAAAATTTTCATGTCCTATTTTTTTTTAATATTTATATATATTTATATTATGTTAACTCTACAAATGGAGAGTTAATATAAATATTTTGATCTAAAATTCGACATGTGAATTTATAATGATCCAGCACGTTTTTTTACTATATCGTACGTATATCGTACCATCTTAGCTTTCCAATTGTATATACAGTTGTAAACATTATTAATAACAATTACCAAACAGATAATAACATGTGATCCCAACACAACATCACGATATAAACGAAGAGAAAGCTCACGAACGCTCCAATAAGAACGCGCCTCCATAACCTCTATGACCGCACATAACCTATCAGAAATCTGTCATTTGGCTGTGCTTATGGGCGAATGTTTGTAAACTCTGACTCATCCAGGACTTAGCACATCGTACCTAAGCTGCTAGTGACTTCAATAAGATAAACAAGAGCTGGTAATGTGCCGATACGCGCCCGAGTGTCGTCAAACAAATGGACGTAAACATCGCGTTACATAAAGCGACACAGGAGAGCTTTCAGCCCGATTCGGCTGGACTAACCTAGTTGTGCGAAGACCTTAGGGCGTACGTTCTCCTGCCAAGCGGCCGCGGCTGTGGCGAGCAGCGCGGCTAGAAGGGCACAGTATACGAACATGGCACTAGTCACAAGTCGACATCACTTGATAAGCACTCGCGACGTTCGGGCGCTATGGAAGCGGACGGGACGGTCGCCGACGGCTGACTGACTAGAGGCAGGGGATAGAGGGGCGCGCCTGCGCCGCCGGCGCCCCGCGGTCTCGCATGCGTCGGGCTGCGGAGTGCGGACCTCGCACGTGACGCAACCCTCCTCACCCCAACGCACCCTCCAAACGATGTTGCCAACCCCATAGCTATGGCTCTGACGCAGTGGAATAGCGAATAACTTGACAACTCGTATAGAACGAGCATTTCTATTCAAGTAATGGGAACACCATCATGATCAACCCATATAAGTCCACTGTCGAATACTCCCATCCACTATTTTGTATGCATTGCCTTAAGTCACCTGTCTAACATAGCGCATGCTCTTCTTCTAAAATACCTGGTCATAATCTTCACATCGGCTCCAGATGTGTAGGAAGGACCTAGCTATTGTCACTTCGATCTATCGATATTGCAAGCGTTTAGGTACGAATTTTGTTGATTGGTTGCAAAACTTTATTCGTCAGATGTACAGGGATACTGTTTAAATTAGTAAACGAAACAATAGAGAGAGAGAGCTTTCATTCAATACATTGGCAACACCGACCGTATACCCGGCTCACGATATAATCGCGTTAAAAAACTGCATATCCTCGTTGACTTAAAGCTGCAATTAAAGTGCCCCCCGCGTCGTCTTTGTTTACGCCTTTCGGAATATTAAAAATTCGTTAGCGAGTCAAGGGCGGCACAGTGCGGCGCAATTACATTTTTGACTAACAGGCCGAAGTTCGATGCATTAAGAAAGCTCTCAATTCCCCTTCCGGAAAAATTCGAGCCAAAGCTTTTGTCACTAATTGACGTTCATCACGTAATGATGGAGTCGGGTGGCCACGTTGAGAACTCTTTTTTATGTTTACTTAGTGAAATTACTGTCTAACTTCTACCCAAGCGCCCGTAATAAATGCACGGAGATTTTGTGTCACTTTTTTGTGAATTCTAGAAGAATATTTAATATTACAGCTTAGACAAGAAGAAAGTTTTGAAATTACGAAAGTACAATTAAAAAAACACTTTAAGTAGCTCCCGTGACCAGTGTAGATGATCGGGCCTAGTTAAAAATAATTTCAAAAATTTAATAAAATTTGAAACCTAAAGTAATTTAGAAGTAAATTACTTTATGTCAGTTATATACGCAGCCAAGATAAAAATATAGCCACTGTATCTCGTTTTACTAATTTTAAATTAATTTTGAAAATTTTTAATTTGAAAATAACATTTCAATTATAAACCTCCTTTAAGGATGAAAATCATAATTTTTAAACACCATTTGAAAATTATTTAATTACAGCCCGACTTTCGATGCTCTGTAGAGGTGTAGGGGAACTATATAATATCTTTCAAACCTTAATTTTTATAAATGTGATAGTCGCAAACTAAACATATTTAAAAAACTTTGTAAGCTAAATGTCGTTTTAAAAATTTTAAAAACAAATTAGAACCCGCAAACTTTTTAATTATAAAGAAAAATTAATAGGATTATTAAATTACTGAGCTTTAAAAATACCACGATAAAGTCCAGCCTGGTAACTATAAAAATGAATTCAAACAGGTTACTATATATTTGTCAACTTTGAACTATTCGAAGTAACTTGTTACTGTACCAGTGCAGAGCTGTAAAATAATAAAATAAAATTTAGAACAACATGATCCCTCATAATTAATGTATTTTGAGCGTAATTATATTATAGAAGTAGTAGTAAATACTTTGTCTATAATTTAAAAAACTTTTTAAAAGATATTTAGTAAAACTTTAAGAGTTTTTGTAACTACGATTCGACGTTTCGGATGCTTCGCAGCAGCCGTCTCACCGTGACCACGGCTGCTGAGCTTAACGAAACTTGAGCTCTAAGGAATTGCATAAAATTGTTTACTATTTTTTTATTTATAACTATAAGCAGTGTTAGCGACTTTGTAGAATAATTTAGTACATTTAATAAGAAATAACTTTTTCATACAAGTTTTTTAGATATGTTGAACTATTTTTGAAGCGTGCTCTTCGAAAACCAATAACGATGAATAATTTTTTTCAATTTTTTTCATATATCTCGCTGTATCTTCGCTTCTTTTCACATCGCGATTTTATAGCCTTCCTCGCTAAATGCTCTAGCCAACACAAAAATATTTGTTTACTTCAATCCAGTAGTTCCTGAGATTAGCGCGTCCAAACAAACAAACTCTTCAGCTTTGTATATTAGTAGAAATATAGACAACTTATATATAGTACATAGCATTACGATCTATTGAAATAGTTATGCGCAAGCGGTAGGTATACGACGAAATCCAGCAGATACAATATGTCAGGCCTTTTATAAAGTTATTTGTATTCTTAACATGCTTTTGTCAGTACGTAAGTGAATATTTCCGGCGACGCGGCTCAGAAAAATGATAAGCCACGCATTCTTGCAACACGCCGGCTTATTTTAAACAATATACAAACTTTAAAGCGAATACTGTTCGAACGGGTAAAACGAATTTATCAAACTTAGCTTTACATGACTACAAAAATAAATAATTATTTAGATTTAGTAAAAACATTTTTGTTTATTCGTTTCGATGTAAACTTTTGTGGTCTCGAGTTGTAACGTACATTTTAAGTATTTAAGAAAACATGCTATATAGGTATTGTTTACTAGAGATCCGTCCCGGCTTCGCTCGGGTGCAATGCTGATACTTGCCTCCTGAATCCCTGTCTATTGAAAACGCGTCAAAATCCGTTGCATAGTAGTAGTAAGACTTAAGCGTACATAGGAAGAGAAAATGCGACTATGTTATATAATATGTAGTGAAGTAGTATTTTGAAGGTAAATACTGTCTATAGTTTAAGCGAGTAGTACACATTTAAATAAAACGGGGAGACTCCCCGTGACCACCACGGCTGCTGCAAAGCATCCGAAACGCCGGGCCGAAGTTAAAAATCATTGTTTTTAACAATCAATCAATCTTGTTTGAACAAGTGTAACTAATATATCGCGTTTTAAACCGTTAAAGTGTTTTATTTAAATTTTGAAGGTAGTTGAGATTTTAATAAAATGCCTTTTCATTTTCTGTAGTGTATTAGTATCAGCATTGCACCCGAACGAAGCCGAGGAGGGTAGCTTGTAAATAAATAAATTAAATTAAATAGTATTTGCAGTGTTAAATAGTAAAGCATAATTACACTATGTTATCATTAGACGATCTGTAATTCCAGGTAATTTAGAGCGAATGTGAATATGAAGTTTCACTTCAATTTATTAAATTTCCCTAGAACAGACATTTCTAGAAGTTTTTACTGGTCTATTAATGTAGCACTGGCGGAGTGGAGCCCGATTCCCGCTTCTTAACTTTCAGCTAATTCAATCTTTTCGCTAAAAGAAGACATTGTTCGGAACGTGCTTGATTTTAATTAAATTCGAGAATCGGTTTAATACTACTTTGACTAATATTCAATATGGGTAATTAGAAATGTAGCCAGTTTAAATAACCAAATTATAGTACTAGAAGTAGTAGTAGTAATAGTGCTTTAATTCTTCGCATACATACATATGTTTGGATGGCTTAATGCGTCTAAATGCGGCAATTGTTTGAATATTCTAATTGTCTATTTACAGCGTACGCGCAGGGTTTTGGTAAAAACTTTAAATAATCAACAAATCACAAACAATCACATGTTTCTAATTTATTTATAATTTTTTTTGAAACATGTTAGACTCGTCTGTATATTAAATGGATGGGAATATAGAAATTCCGTCCGGGTCACGAACCACCGTCCGCAGATGAAAAAGCCCTGAAGCTTAATCGAGGTTCAGTCTGTAGATTTCCGAATATCCAAAGCCAAAATAGGTCGATAGCGCATAATGTTTAGATACTATAGGCTGGGGTATATCAAGTGATCCCCATGCTTGTCTGTACTCCATTATTATTAAAAAAACATTTTTTATTTTTCTTAAAATAATAAGCATACAGTTTCAAACATATAAAAAATTGTGCGTTAACTTTCTACAATACACCAATTTAATTTATAAACAATTATTAAAAATATGGATTGGAAATAAATATATATTATTAACGCTCAACACAAATGGTCATCGAATTCGAGAAAGCGTAAGCCCGAAAAAACGACAGCAAATTGAAATATTTGAAAATTATTCAACAAATCAAAATTTTCAGTCGAGACACTTATTCTGAGTTTCGGAAGGAATATTAATAGAATTTTTAGTACATTTTCATACTTTGGATCCCTCGAGACTCACTGAAAAATGTAGGTAGTATGAAATAAAGGACGTCAAAGGAAAATGGCGGAATAAATTATAAGTATACCCTCGGATTACAGAGAATGTTGCGCGAATATTGTGTCACGAAAAGGTGAACTAGGGACTTGCGTTGCCTCATAATTACACATAATAGTTAAGTTTATTGTTATATAAAATGAAACCTAACGCCATTAGGTTTTTTTTATAAACGGTTAGTCTGGTTCAAACCGGTCAAATAAGTAGAAAACGAGATTTTACTAAATACTGTCTATAGTTTACGCGAGTAGTACACATTTAAATAAAACACTAACGGTTGTCTCCCCGTGACCACGGCTGCTGCAAAGCATCCGAAACGTCGGGCCGAAGTTAAAAATCATTTCCAAATAAGTTTAACTAATATATCGCGTTTTAAACCGTTAAAGTGTTTTATTTAATGAGATTTATACTAATTAAAAAATATTGATTGTCATTCATTTAGTACTATGCTAGAAATGAATAAATGTAATTACAATAAAATATTTAATATAATATAAAAAAGATTAAATTTAGTTTGAAGAAAAAAATGCCAAAAGGATCTCGCGTCAGCATATGTTGCAGCACAGTTATGTCACAACGCTGATTTTCAGCCAAATCCTAACGTTCGTCTGTTAGACAGCGCTCGTACAATAATTTGATTGTTTAATAACATTGTATTATAATCATATTCATAAATACGTCTTCATATGTCACTCTAATTCTACAAGACTATACAAAGACAGCTAATACAATTAAAGAAATCACAATAAAAAATAGATGCCTGTATAGCGATCTCTTCCAGGCAAATGAAAAAAGAAATATGCAAGGGTGTTAGTACTTTAATCAAATAAAATGACAAATACAGTACACACTACATACATAGTAAAATAAAATGAATCTTAACATATTTTAATAAAATTCATTGCTTGCGTGCTAAATCATTTCATTCGCGCAATGAAA